GTGATTGACCCTTCCCTGATCTCCGGTTAGTCCCAGGGTCGGTGCACGCCCGGTCTGCGAGCCGTCAGCACCGCCCACAGAACTGTGCGTGAGACGAGACGCCCGCCGCGGCTCATCTCTAATTCATTCAGAAATTATCGACCCGTTATAGAGGTTTTCCCATGTTGGGGAACTAATCCAGAATATTTCCAGCGAGACTTGAGCCAATTAGCATTTCCTTGATTGAAACGCCGACGTCGTAATGGGCACGTTGGGTGAGGTCCCACAAAGCGTACTTGTTCTCCATAATTGCCCTAATAGGCGACCGACGCCTGGCGATGAGTGAAAATGAAATGAATCACCGAGTGCAGATGGCGGCGTCAAAATCGGCGCCACTGGAGAAAAGCTGACTTTTTAAACAGGCATACATCACACAACCTTCCGATTATCGAGCTGGCCGATGTTTATGTACCTCCGTACACGAGACGTATCTTCGGCGAAAACTGCTTTCATTATGTACACATCGATATTCGTCTAAACCGGCCCAGTGATAAGGCCGAAAAACAACTGTTATCGGTCATTGATTATCACGCATCAAATCCAATGTTAGAACCGTTTCACACATTATCACTCGCATATCGAATTTAATCAGCCCGGACAGATGAGAACCAGAATGCCAAATGTTCATTGAATATTCACAATTCAGTATTCAATTCAGTCCAGCATGACTGATCAGCGATCAATATATCGTGGCGTTTCGTTTGCCCTACGGCGCTGCGTTCACCGGACACGCACGCACCTCGTTCAGAGACCACCTTGATCGCCGCCCTCCCTCTGGGCACCGTTCGACCACCTCAGGCTACGGCCAGTGACAGGGACCGATGACGGCGCATTGTGCTCGGTCACTGCCTCTCCGAAACCCGCGGGGCAGGGACCGCCTCACAGCGCGGCGAGCGGACACTCCAGCTGCGACCGGCCAGTGGAATAGCGTGAAGTGGGCTCTTCACCGAGAGACGGTCCGCTCTGCCGTCACCGTCGCCTCTGCCGGTCAGCGCTGTCCGACTACCAGCGGACAGGACAGGATAGGAGAGGGCAGGATACGACAGGACGGCACAGGACAGGAAATGACAGAGCAAGACAGGAAAGAACAACACATTATAGAATACGACAGCACAGCACAGGACAGCACAGAGACATGGTGGCGTTTGACACACGTGTCATCACAGCCGCCGCCGCCTCTGCCATTATCGCTCTTAGCTGTCCGGACAAGACAGGACAGGACAGAGACGACGCAGCGTTTGACACACATCACAATCGCCGCCGCCTCTGCCGGTCGTCGCTTGTCGCTGTCCGTCGCTCATCGGACAGGGCAGGGTCGAGACGCGGCGGCGTTTGACACACATCACAGCCGGCGGCGGCGGAAGAGGAGAGAGGACGGACGCCACACCACGTGTGAGGCAGAGTAAACAAACAGCTGCCGGCGGCGGATAGCGGCGCTGGACGCGGGCCGTGGACGGTGCAGCAGAGCGGAACAGGTGACGCCGGGAACCGGATGAGCTCATGGCGCACATATGGTGAGACGGACACGGGAGGACAGACTGGTCAACAGGCGCCGCCGCCGGCTCCGGAACTGTCCGTAGCAGAGATCACGGATGAACAGCGAGGCCCCGCCGTCCCATGTGGCACACAGACACAGCTCATGCCCTGCGATACATGAAGAAACGCTACCCCGAATTAGTTTTTTGGCCTATAGACCTCATTACCTTCCCATACTAGCTTGGGATTTTGGTGGTTGGAACAGCGCGGTCATGTTCGAACGCTGTGGCGTGCCCGACTTCGATCCGAAACACAATGGCACGGTCGACTGCCAAACGACCGGGTCAACGGCAACCGTTCGTCAGTCGCAGTCAGGGGCAGGCTGCAGGCAGCATAGCACGCTGAACACTGTGACGGCTAGTGGATCAGTAAGTCACCAGAAAGAGAGGCATCTAATCAAACGGTAGACTGACATATTGTCAAGTTTATGGCATGCCAGATTAGTTTGGAATCACTGAGTACACTAATCAAAGAGCATCCGACCAAAATGCACCACCGGCCATTGGCCAACATTGCTATAATAGCTGTTAGCGAGCAAATAGGCATTTTGGATATCTTCGCAAAGACGGCCGGCGCTCGGAGCGCGGCGGTCGGTCCGCCGCGCCACGCCGCTCACATATGTGTCATCTGGCCCCTGATCTGATTCTCATGCCCACGTGTTGTGCTACGACGAGGGCTGAGACGGGACGGGGGCCCGACAGTCTTCAACGGGACTCCGCCGGTGCGACACGGCCCGGTGTCATACGACGTGGCCGACGCGGCCTGAGTACGAACAGTCTCGAACGCGACTCCGCCGGCGCGACACGGCCCGGTGTTACGACGTGGCCGACGCGGCCTTACGTGAACGACGTGCCGAGAACGACGAATTGCGCTGCACCTGTGACCGCCGTATTTCACCCTTTTTTAACCGCTTGCTAAGTAATCGAGAATAGACTTTTACATATATGAACAATAGCTTTATGGTCCTCCGGGTGACGAAAGAGAACGAGTACGAGAACGAGTGAACGATCACGAGCACGCACGAACATTTCCGTATCGAACGGGTGAACTGAACGATTCTCACGAACAGTAGCCACCTGCAATTGTTTAGCATGTTAAATCGGTCAGAAATCACAATGATTTGATGGACTATGACGGAAACAGAACAAACAAGGTTGCCAATATTTTCAAGTCAAGTGAAATTTCAAGTCAAGGATGAAAATAACAGGAATCTGCGAAATCTAAGGAGGTGCCAAATACATACAGCCAACCCATCCATGCATTCACTCGACGTACATACAATTAGCTGCCAGCAGTGGCATGTTGAACCAGCCACGAAAGGTTCCGCCCACCGATCCGAGGAGCAGCATGCATGTTCAGCAGATCGGGAGCATCGACCGACCTCATCCACAAGGATACAGAGACCGATTTCGGTAGAAAACGGTGAAATAACTCCTCGGCAGTGAAGCAAAACTCCGCCGCCAGGCGCCACTACGGATGACTGCGGCAAAGGTGTGTAAGGTAAGGCTGAGTAGCAGGGGCGGCGTTTGTCTATGACCATCTATGGTTGCGGAGCCATCTACACAGTGTGTTTCGCAAGGCAGGTGCAAACAGGCAGAACCTATTCAAAAAGGGGCATCAAAGCCAGACTGTTCATTCTAAAAAAGTTCCTAGGATGCGCCGCCCGATTTCCGTGCATACAGGTAATAAAATGTGATACTAAGTCTGCATTCATCTAACGCCACTAGATGACCCCGCGGTCAGAACACGACCCATCTACCCACAACATAGCCCGCAGACCCTATGAGCATATGTAATAATCATGCATCCGCACTGTCTGTTTGTCCGTCTGTCTGCCAGACTCACTAACCGACACTCGCCGCAGGTGAAAACCGTAACGAAAGTCGGCTCTCAAATTCCCACGATGTACCTTCTCCAAAGATCCATCGAACCCCGACCCAACCAGCCTGCGGTGAGTGGTGAGCTGAGCATGGAATCAGAGCGCAATACCACAAAGGGAGAATCCACCAGTTCCAGTAACTGCCGGTGTTGGTGAGATTTCCATCAGCTTCCGACCGCAGCGGCGCACCAAATTTGAGGGTGCAGCGCGGCAGCGGCCGGAACCTCCCCACCCAGCGCCGGCCGCACCGGCGCCGCTGCACGAGACCACATCAGGTGAACGCACAACCGTCAGTCCGCCGGTGCAACACCGGGCGGCCGAGCGGGTTACCTGTCCCCTGTGTCCCGCTGCCGAGCGGTCCAAATATCAATCACGGTGACCGGCTGCACTTCCGGCGTCACCCGCCCACCGGAAATGGCTCACTTCCGGCGGGCCTGTGCCGGCCGTTGCGGTGCAGACAGTAGGTGCACTGGACCAGCAGACACCGCTGTCAAATAGTCTGACAGGACAGCTGTCAGGTAGGACCGTCAGAAATCTGCGTGCTGTCACATCGGACAATGACAGGAATGAGTGTCGCTCGAGCGAACCATGCAAATATCAGTTGAAAGATACAGCCACGTCAGTTGAAAGAATGACCGGCACCATTACCCAGAGGCCGCTGATACGGCGGAGAGACCAGTCCAGCCCAAGATACACTGCGAATGGATGTTCAAGTCCAATGTCCATCTTTGCACCGAGCTGGTGGTGTGGAATGGTCGCGTACACGTACACCGATAAGCCGAGTCCCCGACCTAGGACACGAATGGCAATAGAGGATTGAGAGGCTCAGCAGTTTAGCAGTTTTCAATGGCACCTCTCAGTCCATTTTAGTACCTACCTCAAGGCTGTGACTCCAGAATTGCACTCTTATGAATAATCACTCATGACATTTAGGCACTGGCCAGTGGTCAATTTTTACAGTTAGCAGTCTGAGTAAGGTCAAATCTTTGGCTGTAGCATAAACAAATGCTCCCTCAGGTCATTGCATCAGGTTATCATCATCTAAAGCCTTTGCTCAAATGCAGATAGGTTTGGTGGCCAGAGATGTCCAAGTCATATGAGCACCAGTACCCATTACCTATATATCTTTGGCATTACTATAAACACTTATAGGTGAAATGAATGTCCAAAGTATTACTACAGTTAAAAACAAAATAAAATGACTAACAAGGTAATCAATTAAGTGAGTGAGCTAGTATGTAGCTCATAGCTGGAACTGGAGTGGCAGCATGCATCAACATTAAAAACTTGCAACAACTCACTGAGTTCAATTTCCATCACTTTCAAATCATACAGGTAGCACACATGGTTATTTTCAAATAAGGATGACCCATGCCCAGCCTCAGTGAGCACAAACAGGAAACAAGCATTGGAAATACCTAGCAGTTGGAAAATCAAAGTGCCTCATATGAAGGTGTGGTCAATCAAACTTCACTTTATATTTTATTTTAGAAATATCACAAGCATCTTAGCTGTAAAATGTATGTAGCAGTCCTTTGGTACTTACCCATCCAGCAGCTTTTTTGTATCTTGTGGTGGCTCGCAGCATGAGGTCACGGACAGTTCCATTTCCATCTCCACACGGAACGACCACACGGACTGGTCCAAAGCAGACAGTCACCTTCATCACTGATAAAACTTGCTTCCCTAGCACTACCACTCACTAACTCAGCACTAGTGGTTCATCGTCCACATCCAGGTACTCTTCTGAAGTGACTCACTTCAATGGAATGCTTCCTTCCCTGAGATGATTCATCTTGATCTGTACCAGCATGGAGAAGCCTGCAACAAAAGAGCACACAAATGTTAGCCAATTTTCACATTACTCTTGGAATCAGCAACAGGTGTTGTCAAAATTAATTTCAAAAAACTGATAACACAATCGACGCCATAACTGCCGACAGACAGGTAGCTAAGCCAGGTAGGCAGGCGTGCATTCCAACCCGCTATGGAAAAACAAATGAATCCGAGGAAGCGACTAATGAGGGGAAATGCACACACAGTTTCGGGTCACTTACCAGTCACTCCCATTCCCCCCGAATCGGAAACGGATAGATCAAACGCGCCTCCGACCTCCTGACCGATTTTTGTTCGGAGCCGCGCTTGTTTACGTCGCTTTGGAAAGTGCTCTCGATTTTGGACAGCACCCGCCACCTAGCAGTGAAACCAAAAACTCCACCTGCAGCGCTACCACGAGATGTCGCCTCAAGCCCCAATGCCAACAATCGATTGTTGCGGACTTCAGCGGTGACGGCGAAGCGGAGCGTTGTTTTCTGAGTAATCGGGGGCGTGGTGACTGCTGAGGGCTGTCATCTGAAGTCGTACACACGGTATATAGAGAACTATACTGGTCGTACCTTTATTTCTAATGCTGTTAAATTCACTCAAGGGTGGTTCATAAGGAGGAAAGCCATTTGCTTCTGCCATTGGTAAGCGGTAAGTGAAGTTAGTGATCGTGTTTTCTCGCTATAGTTTAATTGGAAATTTGACGTATTTTTTGTTTTGTTGTAAGCTACCATGTTCCTACTTTCGCTGTGATATATCTTACCTCTTTTGCAACTGATACTGAACTATTGCAAATTATCCATCAGTTGCTGCATGAGTATCAGCATAGTTCGAGGTTCAGGTTTAGGTGGGGTTTATTGATGTACACATGATGACTGTGTGTGTAGGTACAATAATCAGTTAATAATGCAGCATTTTTTATCAATGGACAAATGGTCACACTTTTTATATTGATAACATGTATCCTGCTGGGTCTAGGCTGTCACTTCATGCACATTTGAGCAATGCTTTGGTTTGCGGTTTTGTTTGCTTGTCATTGCTTATTGACCAACACTGATACAGGCTTACAAAAGTAATTGTTTTCCTTGCAGATTCATTATCTCAATCGTCCAACCATGTCTCTCAAAACGATTGTGGGTCAGAAGATCATGGACATTGTCATCAAGTCACAAAAGAAAGGCTCGACACCCGACTGGCGCGTCCTGGTGGTTGACGAGCTGAGCATGAGGATGATCTCAGCATGCACCAAGATGCACGACCTGGCACAGGAGGGCATCACAATTGTTGAGGACATCTTCAAGAAGCGGGAGCCACTGCAGCATCTGGAGGCCGTCTACCTGGTACAACCCACCGAGAAATCCATCAATGGCATTATCAACGACTTTGGCATCCCAACGCGGACCATGTACCGCGCTGCGCACATCTTCTTCACGGAGGCGTGTCCTGACGAGTGCTTCAACATGCTGGTCAATGCCAACGTCTCCAAGTATGTGAAGGCGCTGAAGGAGATCAACATCGCGTTCCTGCCGCAGGAGTCGCAGGTGTTCTCTCTGGACTGTGAGGAGACGTTCCCGGTGTTTTACGGGCCGTCGCGCGCGCCGAGCCGGCCCCAGACCATGGAGCGGATGGCGCAGCAGCTGGCCACCCTCTGCGCCGTCCTGGGCGAGTACCCGAACGTGCGCTACCGCAGCGACTTCGACTACAACGTCGAGCTGGCGCAGATGGTGCAGCAGAAGCTGGACGCCTACAAGGCCGACGAGCCGACCATGGGAGAGTCTCCGGAGAAGGTGAGGGTCGATGGAGGGCGTGGAGGGCTTCCCTCCGGCGGTACTGGCACCGGGCCAGTGGGGGATGTACTCGCGTACTGTGGGAGCGGTGGACGGCGCGGGGAGGGTGAAATATGACGATGGGGGACCGTAAATTTATGGGGAAACCGCCGGAGATGCAGCTTGAGTTGGTCGGGTCCGGAACGACATTAGGAATATGTGTAGCACTTTTCTTTCATGACACTTAGGCTTTGAATCCAAATGGTTATCTTACGGTTGCCATGTTAGTAAGCCATTCATAGCATGCCAGCTCGCTTATTGTTAATATGCGACGGTTTCCTTTCCAATCGATATTTTCCGACCTGTCGCCTTACAGACGTACCCAGACGCCCCACAAAGCCCGCCGCCGTCGTACCCACGACGCTGCGGACTGTCTGTTAGCCCTTCTCCGTCGTGCCCGCCACACCCCAGACGCTTTGTTCCCCGCTCCAGTTCGTTTCCCGGCGGCCGTCTGACCTTCCGACACGCCACATACGTTTCGGAAGAGGCGGCGTCCTGCCTTCGTGACCTTTTGACCGTGCGCCGTTCTACCTCCGCCCTACTTCGGTGACCGGCGAGCAGTCGTACCTGGTCCCGTTTGCCGCCCTGCCATTACACGGATGGTCACGCTGGATACTTTGTGGGGTATTTGGGTCCATCTTCTCCCGCAAAGAACTATTGAGGCACCTCCAAGCTATAGATGTTTCAACAGTGCGTATTTTGTGCTGATGGCTAACTACTAACCATTAGTTATATCACATGTTTGTGATGATTGATGAGTCATTTGAAGCTGTCGAGAGATTTCCTCGATTGTCACTTTTTGAAGCCGACATAATGTCGGCTAGAGACGGAGCCCTACCGATATTGAACTTCGGTGATTTGACGTTCCTTTTTCACTAATGAGCTTCTGTATTTCCGACAGCAAAGAAAAAATAAAAATAATGCGAATGTCATGTTGTTGTAAATCAAGTTATTCAACAAGTTATTATCAAGTTATTTTTTGCTATGAAATCAAGTTATTTGTTTATTTGCGTCGTCAAGACCTGATAAATGTTTTTGAATCCACTCCTGGCATTGTTGAAATTTCACCTAAGCTGTCTGATACGTGGGGCAGATAAACTTCACTCTCCCGCTCTAGTTCTCACCTGTTTTTCTGTCGCTCTCCTCCGTCTCGTCCCGTCCGTCTGAACTGTCTTGCTGAAGTGATTTTCACGCCTCTCTTCCCGCTCGTCTGTCCTCCTCGTCACTTCACTGTTTTCTCTCCGTCCAGCTGCCTCTTTTACACAGCAACTTCAGTTTGACTCTCACCAGACTGACTGTATTCTAACACCTCTTGGACGACCGACCGAGCCAGGATCCTCGCGTCCCGAAGCCCGACTTTAATTATGCACACACCATGGCGTATGATTAATCTGTGAGCGGTCGGCACTGTGTTGCCGGGCACTGGGACAGTAGTCCGCTGTGGTCCGCTCCCCTCCCTGGGCACCTCAGAGGTAGCCTGTCTCTGACAGAGCCCCACTGGAGAAGGTGACATGCCTGGCCTTGCTTGACGACCGACTCCTAACGCCAGATCTGCCGCCGTCCGTGCAGGAACCCGGGTAGCGACCGAAATACATTCAGTCATTCAGAGAGAAGCTGGTTACGAGAACGGGAGAATTCGTTTAAACGGCCGGCCGGGCGGCAACGAGGGCGAGATGTATTGTTTTACATTGAGCGGAGTATGTGAATAGTGCAGCTGGCAGCATGTCAATCACGTGCTGCTCATTTGCGATGCATGAGTAGACGGACGCTCAAGTTTCGGCGTGCAATGAGGTTCGCTGGGAGCTTTAACGAGGTCACTGTAAGCACCGCTGCTCACGCTGCGCCGCTGCGAGCCGCACATTACAGCGCCAGCTGCGTTTGGGCCCTTCTTTAGCTGTCAGCGCTGACTTACCCCGCTCTCCTGCAGGCGCGCTCCCAGCTGCTGATCCTGGACCGCGGCTTCGACGCCGTGTCGCCGCTGCTGCACGAGCTCACCCTGCAGGCCATGGCCTTTGACCTGCTGCCCATTGAGAACGACGTCTACAAGTACGAGGCCAGCCAGGGCGAGAGTCCCAAGGAGGTGCTGCTGGACGACAATGACGATCTGTGGGTGGAGCTGCGACACCAGCACATCGCCATCGTATCGCAGCAGGTGGGTGCGACAGGCAGAACGGTGCAGTGGGGCAGCCGACGGAGCGGGAAAGGAAGGGGTAGGGAGGACAACGGGGTATGTGAAGTGGGTTGAGTTTGGAAGTAACGTGGTGAGGTATTTCGGGAAGATCGGTAGTTGAATGAATGAATAAATGAATCGAAAATGAAAAAAATGAATCGGATGATTTAATGAATTGGGTCGGTAAATGAATGGACGAAAGCAAAGAATAAAGCTTTTCGCACTGGCGATTTCGAATCTGGATAATGATTGAGTGTTTCGCTGGCCAGAAAGCTAAATCATCTACCCAATCTCGTTTTCGTTGAAATTAACTCACTTGTCTATCTGACAGGTGACCAAGAACATGAAGAAGTTCATTGAGAACAAGCGCGGCATGTCGACGGACAAGGCGTCGATGCGCGACCTTAGTCAGATGATCAAGAAGATGCCCCAGTACCAGAAGGAGCTGAGCAAGTACTCGACCCACCTTCACCTGGCCGGAGAGTGCATGGCCTCCTACCAGGGATACGTCGACAAACTCTGCAAGGTGGGCTGGCGGGGTAGTAGGGAAAACGGAAAGGAGATAGACCATGACTGGCATCGTCCGAGCTTCATTTTCACTTGTCCAGTGATGTGGAATGCAAACAGTATCAGTATGAAAGCATATGCAGGGTTTGGCCTTATGTTTATTCAGTTAGTCGGTGATGCTTAACTAATTAAATGCTACGACGTATATGGTCACGTCTGTGAGCCGAGTATGTGACCCTTATAATCACTGTTTTTGCGTTTGTTATGTTCACCTTTGCGTTCATCACCGTATACCCGACAGTGTCTGTGGTTCGTGTCACTACACGAGTCCGTGTGCTGTCTCCACTCACAGGTGGAGCAGGACCTGGCCATGGGTACTGACGCCGAGGGTGAGAAGATCCGCGACCACATGCGCAATATCGTGCCCATCCTGCTGGATCAGAACGTTACCACGTACGACAAGATCAGGATCATCCTGCTCTACATCCTGGTGAAGAACGGCATCAGTGAGGAGAACCTCAACAAGCTGATCCAGCACGCGCAGATCCCTGCCGAGGACCGCAGTATCATCACCAACCTGGCCAATCTCGGCCTCAACGTGGTGGTCGACGGAAACAGGAAGAAAATCCACACGGTAAGTGCTAAAATCGTGGTTATGGTGCCACCCATTAGAAGCTGAAACACGAGATGGATCACGATAATGTTCACCCTGTAGGATACTAAACGTGCGTCGCTTTTGAAATGTTCGTACCTACTTATAGCAGAGCAGGAAGGCCGGAGCATTTATTATTGCAGGATCATAGCGAAAACGGCTGCCTCCGCATGCCTACCGCCCTATGGCTTCCCGTCTTATAGAGGTCTGCCGCAGCACCGTCTGATTAACACGCTAAGCATATGGGTACCAGTCATCAGCTTGATGGTTTGCCGTTACCTCTCCACACCAAACGGTACCACCCCGACTCCGCTCTTATTGTGACCAAACCAGACTTCACCCGAGCAGACCATCCCCGACCCCGGCGTTCACCCCAGTCGCCGCGCTGACAGTATGGCGAGTCTAAGGCTGAGACCGTGACGGGCTCCTCGGTGGACTCGGAGCCTCTGCGGAGGGCGGCCGCCGCGCTGGCGCCGCTGCGTCGCTCGCTGTCCTGGACTGCAGCGGCCGCCACCGGGGTATCCACGTCACCGGGAGTAGGTGGACTGTTCGGGCCGGGACCGGCGGGGATGAGGCTGGGCGGTGTGGCCAGCGGAGAGTGGGGTGATGCTGGTCCCTACTGGCCGGGTTTGGTAGATTGGTAGTTGGATTGGAAACATTGTGTGGCGACTTGGTGGTGTGGTCAGGGCGGTTCTCGGTGTGGAAGCTATGAGGGGTGGACGTGAAGAGCTGTAGAAGGTGGTGGAGAGCTGGGTGGACCTGTGGACTGATTCTGCACGACCGGGCGAGAATTGATGGACCACTCGTGGCATGACGGGGTTGGATGTGGGAGATCTCGTCCGGTCCCGGATATTGCTGGCTGGGTTTCTTTCAGGATTTTTGTTTGTTGAAGGCATCACAGGTGTATTCGTGGTGACTTCCGAAGACACCGAGTTTTTTTTTTTTTTAGTCAATTGTACATACGAGACAACTTTATTGTTTCTTGGACACGTGTCGTCATTTGGCTGGTTGTTGTCCAAAGTCGTAAGACTTTGGTTTGAAAATGCGTTGTCGTTACATGGTCATTGGTCAGGCCTTTTTGTTTTCCGTTTCCATGAGTTATTTTCGTTTTTGACCAAGTTACTTTGTACTTTTTCGATATTTTTGTTATATTTTGTTATATTATATTGTTTTGTGCTCGACATGATTTACAGGTAGTACAGTAGTACAGGTACAGGACTCCCACAATTTCGGCAGTTTTCTGATTGCCACTGAGTTTATGCGGGTGTTCATATTTCAGGAAATTGATTTTTTATGTGAGCCGTATTAGCTGGTGTGGATTTTTTTCGCATTGTTTTCTTGCCAGCCCATTGCGACTGTTGAGTTTTGTCTCAGTTCATGTTCATGTTCATCGTTTCTCTCAAAATTATATGGCTTAAGGCCTAAGCCCGTACCTACTAAATTTGTAATTGTTTTTTGCTATTTGTAATTGTTATAAGATGTGACATTTCCCTGGGCATGAATTTTGCGTGCTGTTTAAGTCTCCGACCATATCATATAAATGTCCGAAAACAGAGTGAATTGTCCCCAGCTCCTACATCTACCGTTGGAAGGGCTCGGGTATAGTCGACGCCGGCCGGTGGCCGGCACTGTCTCCGCTGCCAGCCGCGGCCGGTCCGTGCAACACTAACCATCACACCCGCCAACAGATGGCGCGCAAGGAGCGGATCACCGAGCACACCTACCAGATGTCGCGCTGGACGCCCGTCATCAAAGACATCATGGAGGACGCCATCGACCTGAAACTGGACGAGAAGCACTTCCCGTTCCTGGCGGGGCGCGCGGCCACGGCCGGCTACCCGCGCGCCACGCCCACCACGGCCCGCTACGGCCACTGGCACAAGGACAAGGGCGCGCAGAACGTCAAGAACGTCCCCCGCCTCATCGTCTACGTTCTGGGCGGCCTGTCCTACAGCGAGATCCGCAGCGCCTATGAGGTCAGTGCTAGCACCATAATGACTTCGCGGATTTGGAAGGATTCCAGGGGCCGTATTCACGTCGACTTCGTAAGTCGATTTTGTTTCGTAAGTATAATTTGGTATGCACGTCGACACTTGTTAAGTTTTTATCGACGGAGTTCACTTGATTACAATAAAAAAGAATATTAAGAAGTAGGCCATACGTAAGAAAATTCTTATCAAAATGATCGACGTGAATACGGCCCCAGAGCTACTATTGATTCACCAGGTGGGGCCCGGCGCTCAGGCACTTCCCAGCCCACAGGGGGGGGTGTTAAACCTCAGCGCTCATGATATGGCCCTGAGCCTCACAGCTCTGACGTTTAAACGGGATTTGAACGTTGGGCGGGACGTAACTACCTTAATACTCGTTAAATGTGGACAGCTCATTTATATGCCAGAGTCGGTTACCACACAAAAAAAAAAAATGCACCGCTGATAGCGTTTGACTCGAGGCGTGTGAACTTTCTCAAGAAGCTGACAACACTGAACTGGATAACATTCTAATGTATGGCGTAGTTTTTCATGATGCGGGAAGGACGCTCACCCTCCCATGAAACATGCGAAGTTTATGGGACACGAACGTAGTTTGTGGTGCCATTCGTTGCTCGCTTTCTGGAGTTTTGGGTGGTTACTAGTTTCCAGTTCGTATGTTTACTGTGGTAGCTTCTGGCTGATGTGAGACATATCACACGCTATATATGCGAACAGAGTTTGAGATATGGTACCCCGTTGTCAGGTAACCAACGCCCTGAAGAACTGGGAAGTGGTGATCGGCAGCGACCAGCTCATCACGCCTGGACAGTTCCTCAAGAACCTCTCCAAGCTGGGCGGCGGGCCGGCGTAGGTACGCCTCGAGCCACCAGAAGCCGCCTCCGCCGCCCCCGCCGACCGGTGAGGAGGGCACTGGGAGGCGGCGGCGCCCGACCGCGGCGTCTCGGGCGGGGTGGGATGTGAGGACTCCGCTGTAGACGGGGAAGATGGGGGCTCTGCGGGCGCCGGCGGTAGCGCGTCCGAACTCGCCGCTAGTGCTTGTCCACCCTGAGTTTGCAGTGTGATCGGCCCCTAACGGCACATACCGTTGTGAGTCGACCTCTAGAGCTGAGAGCATAGCTGCTTCGTGAGGCCGGGTTGAGTTGAAGGGCGACCGGGTAGAGTTTGGCGTTTGCGCGATTCAGTCAGTTGGGTGATATTTCAGCACCGGTTTTCGTTGTTCTTTGTCACGTCCTTCCGTCGCTTGTTGAGGTTGATACGTCTTGCCGCAGAGCGCTGGTAGTGGTATTACTAGTCAGGAGAGCGTCAGCGCCTAGCAGCAACTTCAGGCCTTCAGCCACGGTGTCGTTAGGCCTCTGCTCGTTAGGCCTCTGTTCGTTAGGCCTCGCGGGTTAGGCCTCGTGGTTGCGGCTGAGGCCTGAGCTAGTGACTCTAGTTGGCAGGTTGCGTCTGTCTGCCCCGTTTCACGCGTCATATCCCGGGGGTCCGATGGGGTTACAGTTGAAGGGGTTACGTACCAGCGTCCGCTTGAGTCCCTTTAGAACGACTGCGGTGGTAGTGCCGCCTCGCTGCGAAATTTACCGAAGAGTGTTCGCGCCGGGGACATTGAGGGGTCATTCACGCTGGTGGTCGCGGGATGGCGACGCCGGCGGACAATGCGTCAGTGACCGAGAGGTGTCATTCCTGGTACGACCAGCTCGTCACCGTATTATATCAAACAACCCTCCTAAGGTCCGGTAAGGGTTGGATGTCGGCTAGGCTAGAGCGCAGTTCTCCGTAAAGTCCCGGCCCGGATCGCGTCACTATCCAAATATCTAGGTTATCTATATCGGGAATCTCGAGTATTGTCCGTTAATTGCGGTGCTTGTTATTGTAAACTGCAGCCACGTTTGCTATCCGTATGCACATCTGATACGGAAGCTGTGCATAATATTGATTCCTTAGGTGGTCAATCCTAGTTGATTAATTCCGGTGGAATAATTTCCTATGATTTTGTGGCACTCACTGTCGTGGCTGTCAATTGGCGAATGTTATTTCGAGACAGCTTTAGTTTATGTGATAATATGGTGTGGTAATGGTGGTGGTGGAATCTGCTGCTGTTTTATGTCGATCAATGAGCTATTCTTTGGGAGGTGATTATCTGTCCTTGTGGCGTTTTGTTTATACGGCTTGCCGTCGTCACACAAGAACCGTAAAATAGTATTATTATGTGTTGGAGCTATATTTCGTTGACTGTACCTATGATTTTATTTATTGTGTATTTGCGTGGCACGACTGATCGTAAGGTACAGGACATTCCCCGTCGCCATGTTGCCGGCCTCTGCGCGCTGCCCGATCATTCCGCGGCCTCTGACCTCGGCTCTATATGGTTATCTGACCGTCTAGTCGCTCGCTTCAGTCCATCTTTCGCACCCATCTCTCGCTAAAACTTAAAGTCATAGGTGTGCTTGGCTCTACCTCTACCAAATAGGCGCGTCGTGTACGGCGTTTTCGGCCCTGTTCTGCCTTTGCCAGCATCGATGTATTTCATCTATCCCGCTTTCCCCCCTTATAGCGAATTGTCTGGTCCAATCTCTGCCGCGCTTGTCCCAACTTTTCCATTTTGCCTCGTATGCCTCATCCTAACGACCGGCTGCATCTCCTACAGTCTGTTCGATATCCGGACATTTCGGTATCAGCGTTTCCCGTACGAGCCAGCTGTAGCATAATCGCGCCTGCGGTCCTGCAGCGTCCCTTCGGCTTTATACGCCCGGTAGGCACCCGTTTGTCGCAATAACGCGGACCTTTGTGTTCGTGGGACGCTGCCGCGGTTCGCTGCTGGTTTCCGCACTCTGTGCCTAGTCTCCCTATCTTTCCCGACCAGCCGGAGAGCCATTCTGGGTATTCCGGTGGAGTCTTAGCTTCGGATCGGCGCGGCGATACGATTGGCGGCGCAGCGGGGACGAGAAGTGGCGCGTGGAGGCAGTTAGCGGCGTGTAGTGACGCAGGCAGACGGGCGGCGGCGCGGCGAGGTCGCGGAGTGTTACCGTTTACAGAGGTTTGTCTTGTGCGCTACGTAACGGTAGTTGATGACCCATGGCGGGCCAATCGGATAGAAATAAAGTCACTGCATTAGAAAACCGGTCTTTGATGGAGGACTTATCGCGTCGCCGGTGGTGATTAGTCTGCTACAGAAGAAAGCCCGATGACTGGCTATCATTTTGTCGTGCATAGATAACGCCTTATTCTGGCATGTCTGTCGGTTGATCCTAGACGTGTTAATGGCGCACGTGATAGTCGCTCGGATCAGTCCATGACGAACACCGCTCTCATCAGCAATTGATGCGATCGAAAGGACTATGATCAGATACAATCGCCTTCATTTATTCACATATATTTACAGGCATCATTCAGCCTGTGCTCTTTCCCCAGCGGATACGACGCATCTTACCCTGCGCGTGCATCCTAAGATCGACTGGAAGCTCCCCCACCAGGATCCGGCGGACGGAGCTGGGCCCCTCTGAGCGGAGGAACGCATCCCTCTAGCAGTACAGCGACCACTTACACCCAGTCGAGAAGACTGGTCACTCGGAGTCTCATAAACGATGCGGAGACAAATAACAAGGAGCTCACAGAAGCTTGTTGAGGAATAAGTAGAATGTAACGTAGGATTAATATACACATACAGCCTCAGATAAACTCTGGCAGGCTAAAGCTATAGCCAGCCCCAAGTGCATCGTCACAAAACTCGCAACAATTCATAACAAGGCAGGAGGCGACGAGTACCCTATGTACAACAGTGAACACTCCAACAAATATCCTTAAAACAAGAACAAAAATAAAACTGTCGGCAACGGCACATTGTGTAACGCCTCATACGCTGATAACAGCAGTCGTGTACTGAATCTCATTGCACTATGTATAAGCCATTCACATCCTTGAACTATCCACGTCATAACAGCCAACACCCTGGTCGAAGCACTCCAGATGCGATGAGCTACCTTTTACGCTTGGTTCGTGTATGAAGCCATCAAGATATTCTATCGAATCGTCGTTATGCTAGGAGCTTGAATGATGGGGAGAGGAGGATGTGTCACAAATTGTCATGGAAAGGATACCACGCATTATATCATTGCATCTAGCCATTTCACTATGATCACACACAACTAACCCAATCAACATCCACAGCACAAGCCTTACAACAGTTCACCGTCCGGACGTTTCACAACTGAAGCTGATACGACTGCCCCACCTCGAATTGTACGTCCCCCTCGCTGTAGACATGTTCTCTCCGCGGCGGCGGGTTTTTCTGTTTCGCCTTCTGAGTCTCTTTCGCAGTTGGTTTCGGCATCGGCAGCTGTCGGTCCAGGGCGACCACAAACGACCGTACCTGGTCGGCATCGAGCCGCACCTGCTGCAGACCGCTCAGTGCCGGCGGCGCGGTCGGGCCCTCGGCGCCGGTCAGACTGGCGGCGCTCAGCCACTCGGCTCCGAGCAGCGGTGATAGTCGCGGCAGCGGCGGCTGCAGGCCGCAGCCGAGCTCGTCGCGCGCGTCCCAGAGCCGGCAGTCGAGCCGGCGCCGGCGCAGCGTGAGCAGTGCGCGCGCTGCCGGCCGGCCGTCGGCACCGGCAGTCAGCTGCCGCAGCGACACCAGCTCGTGGTCACACGGCAGCGGGCCGTCGAGCAGACGCGGCGTGGCGCGCAGTCGCACCGCGCTGGGACTGCTGCCGAACAGCAGCGGCGCCGGACTGGCCAGCTGCTCGGACAGCAGCGCCACCAGCGGGCTGCTGGCGAACAGCTGCCGGTCAGCGGCCGGCGGCTCGGGCAGCTGCTCAGCAGTCAGCAGCAGCTCGGCGTACACAGTCTCGGCGGCGGAGCCGAGCAGCACGGCCAGCTCGCCCTCTGACGGACTGGCCACTGCGCGCGTCTGCTCCAGCAGCACGGCGAGCCGCCGCCGGCCGTCCTGCAGACAGGCCTGCGCGGCGGCCGGCCGCAGCCCGCTCGGCAGGGCGGCCGCCGCCCGGCGCGCCAGCTGGTAGTCGCCGCTGTCCGCGTAGAAGCCGCTGCCGGCGCCGCCCTCCGACCGCAGCGGCGTGCGCAGGTGCAGCAGCAGCGGCGCCGGGTCGGCGTCCGGCTCCTCGCTGCTCGTCCAGCTCAGCGCGCCGCTGATGCCACCGCCCACCTCCGGCTCAGACTCCACCAGTAGACTAACCGCCTGGCCGAGCGGGCCGGTAGCGCGCGTCAGTCGCACCGTCAGCCGCGCCCTGCCGCAGCGCAGCGTCGCCTCAGCGGTGACGGAGTCGGCTCGCTGGCTCCAGCCCTGGTCGGAACAGGCCAGCAGCTCAGTCCCGCTCGGCCGCAGCGCCACCAGACGCAGCTCCAGCTCCAGCTCGTCTCCGGTGCGCCGGTCCGTCAGCCGCCAGCCGTGCGGCGACTCGACCAGACGCAGCTCGAACCGCTCGTTGCTGATGGTTAGTCCCTCGCTGATGTCGGACTCGTTCTGACCGAACATTAGCGCCGGGTCGGCGGCCGAGTCGAGGTCGACACTGCTGACGCGGTACGTCGTCATCGAAACAGGCGACAACTGCTCCGCCACGAACTTGACGGTGAAGGTGTCGCGGCCACTGGTGGATATCTCGAGCGGCACATTGGCACCGTCCGGACCCTCGACAGCGATATTGGGTGTAGGCGTGACGAACTGCACCAGCTCGGAGCGCTGGAAGGGCAGGGAGTTGTAGACGATCAGGTGATGCGCGTCGCCCGGCTGAACGGTGACTGTGAGCAGCCGCGGCACAGCGCTCAGACCGTTGTCCAGGCTGACGTAGTGCCGTGCCGCATCCGCCGCGCTGGCGAACCGGCCCAGGTCGAGCAGCAGCACCGACAGCAGCAGGTGGCTGACGCGTGCCAGCGTCTTACTGGTGGCCGACAGCTCCTTGGCCAACGACGCCGGCACGCCAGCGGCGGCGGTACCGCGACGAGACAGGAGGGCCACTGTGCGCCGGCAGTTGGCCAGCTTCCTGGCTGCCTGCGCCAGCGGCCGGTCGGCTGCCGAGGGCGGCGGCGCACGCTGGTGCACGCCCAGCGCCCAGACCAGCAGCAGCTCCGTGTCGCGCAGACGAGTCTCCAGCCGGCGGGTGACGCGGTGCCAGCGCGTCTCTGCCGGCGGCGCCGCACCGTGCAGCTCTCCGACCAGCCGGGGTAGCGGCGCGGCGTGCGTCAGCCGCTCCCTCACCGCGGCGAAGTAGCGGGCAGGAGTGGCCAGCTCGGCGCTGGCCGACAGAGAGTCGCCGTGCTCACTGATGTAGTTCGTCAGCTCGGTCAGGCTGCGGTGCCGCTCGTGCCATGCCGATACGTTGGCCGGGTGGAAGTCTGCGTCCACCATCACTAGCGCCACGTTGTGGGCGGAGAGAGAAGCGACTCTTCCAGCAGCCGCCACCAGGGCTTCGGCGCGCTCCTGTGGGCGGAGAAACGCGTGACACCCACAGTTTCATACTATTCGAACGCCAGATACAATCGGAGCCAGACACAGCTATCCATATTCCTTACTCAAAGACGAGTACGTGAGTAGAAAGCACCAGGAAATGGGACTAATGACCTGATACTGACTATCGCATGCTTACTGCGCACGTAAAATGAACGTTACAACATAACGAATGGAGAAATGTCAATTTAAGTTTCTCTCTGGCTTGTATCGTCCTCGCCCCTCGGTAGGAGTGTGCACCTGTTCTAGTTCGGAGAGAGCTTCTGTTAGATCTCCGGCTCGACACTTGCCTTGACGTTGTCTGCTGACACGTGTGTGAAGAGATTCTGGTAACCGTCAGCGGTCAGCAGGGCCTGGGTCAGGTCAACGTCGGGACAGACGTCGGACGCCTCCTCAGAGTCGCAGCCGGCACCGTCCGACCGTCTGAAACGGCAGCACACGAACGATTAATCGTCAGAGATTGGCTCTGGGGTGCCCAAACGTCTATTTGTAATGATCTCTAGCAAATAGCAATGTCATTGGGCAAATAACTTTACAAACGTGCTCGGTTAAGTCGGATATCGGCGTGCAGATCCATCCATTCAAACCAAATTTCTAAAAATAAGATAATAAATCATCGTTGGAGATAGCTGGGAAACGGGAGTGTACACCGATCACTAGAGAAGATCCTTATTGTTTGGGCTCAGACTTCTCACATTTGTCAGCTGTGCCACTTTTTTTGCGCCACGGCAGGATAGGGGCAGACGGATAGAGGTCAGATCCGTAATGGAGGACAGGTGACTTCGAAATGAGATCCAGCTGACCCAGCGGCTCTCTCTCTCTCTCTCTCTCTCTCTCTCTCTCTCTCTCTCTCTCTCTCTCTCTCTCTCTCTCTCTCTCTCTCTCTCTCTCTCTCTCTCTCTCTCTCTCTCTCTCTCTCTCTCTCTCTCCCTCTCTCCGTCCCTCCCTCCCCCGCATTTAGTCTCCGGCTGGATGTTGAGTTACCGTCTAGTCTTGCCCGTTTTATCCAGTTTGAAAGTAGCATTTAGCAGGGGCGAGTCGGAAATTTAGACCGACGGATAAAAGACGCGAAAAGGCAAGGGCACAGAAAAAAGAATGAATAAAAGTAAAACATACGCGACATGTCGGGTGGCGACCTCACGACCGAGTACCGACCGTGATCCCGTGACCCGCCCTGGTTACTGTCTCCGAGCTCGGTCCTCGACCCGTTTTTTCCTTTTTGAGCCTTTCCTCATATCCCTCCCCAGTACCTCGACCTCGCTCCAAGGTGACACAAGTACGGATATGAAAGTAACCCACTGGCTATTCCGAAAAGCCTGTCGTCCTTCGGCTGAGCGGTCCAGGCGATCCCACATGGGAATAATGGCCCCTCCGCCGCCCACCACCATAGGTCCATCTAACCCGCGGACATAAATGAGGCCATTCGTGATTCGCATTTAAGATTTGTCCTTACTTGTAAGCAAGGCTATGTCCTGTAGGCTGTAAGCAACATATCTCCCATCCCGATGCCAGTCCTAAACTTCATCGCAGTAGTTATAGGTACCCCGTAATAATAATTAAAGCTATTCAGCTGAACGTGATCTCTGCTCCATATGAAAGCCACGGCAGACGCCTACGCGTCGCACTTGGAAACATCCGGCTCTATATAGGTACA